CAGAGGCCAAGGCCAGCAATGTGCGTTTTTGCAAGCCGCCCACCGATTACTTTTCCTACTTTCGTGTCTGGGCTCGCCTGCAGGGTAACTTCCAGGGCGACAGTTCGGGGCGCTTCTCGCTGGAGGAAGCGCGTCGGGCTCTTCCAGGCTGTGCTGGGCTAGCTGGGTTTCAAGCCTGTTGGAGCGATGCTATTCGGTTATCTGGCCTATGACTAGCTGCGCGTGCGGTTGCACTCGAAGTCGCGGCTCGGTTTGCAACGTGCCCCATCAATGGCGATGCGCCTGCGCATGCCAGCGCGGAAGCTCAAGGGGCGTCGTCGGCTTGGTCTAGACAGGACATCAAAGAGGCGCTCGCTAAGCACAAGGCTATGGGCGCTTGCTCTCGTCGTAAACGTTCGGTTCGGCCCTTGCCCGCTCTGTTGGGACCATGCGACAAACCGCTCAAGTAGTGCGTCGGGATCGCTAATCGCTGGCTTCAGCACTTCAGCGACGAGGGAGCGGGGAGCTGCGCCAGTTATTCCTGAGTCTGACATACTTTGGCACCTAGAGTCTCTCCCTTCACAAGGCGCGTCGGGGCCCGACGGCATCGCAAGAGCGGTGCTGAAGAAGTTCGCCATTCCGCTCGGTCGCCTTTGTCGCCCACTGTACGTTAAGAGCACGCTGAGAACACGGGGGCCAATCCCATGGAAGGGGAGTTTTTTGACTGGAGTATTTTCAACTCGGGGGCCCCATTCAACGTGAAAAACTTCAGATCCATTCTGGGCTCATCGAAAGTCGGTCAACGATTCCGTGCTCTTACTCGTGCCAATGCAGTCCCTCGCCTTACGGAAGCTGCGGGACATCGCCAGTCTGGTGGTATCGCTGGTCGCAGCGCGGAGTTTTCTGTACTCGGATTTCTGATTGTTTCAGCATTTAGCTGCAGCCGGAATCCATTATGCAATGATGTTATTCGTTGATGCGGTCCAGGCCTTTTATAAGTCGGTCCGGTAGTTGGTCTTTCGTACTGCGGCTGATGATGAGGCTGTAGCCAAGCTGCTGAATTTCTGTGGGCCCCCTCCTGCGGCCGTTCAAGAGCTGGCCGACTACGTCGGAGCTTGTGCGCCTATCCTAGAGCAGCGTGGTGTTTCCGCTTTGAGACGGGGTCGACTCTCGGACGCGCGCGCTAGAGTCGCGCAGGAAGCTCGAGAAGGAATGCGCGGGCCCTTGCGAAGCCCCCATCACTCGTGCTGATCGGGAGCAGGCTATCTCACGATCTCACGGATCATTAGAAACCTGCACCAACGCTCGGGTCGCCCTTCGCCCGAGTAAATATATTAGGCCTTGCAGTTTCCGCAGCGCGGGTCGCCGCGCCGTCTGTTCTCAGCGAGTCGACGAAGCCGACGCCGCGGCAAACCCACGGCAAGGCAGGCCTTGCGTCCGAGGCGGCATTTGCCCCGGCGGCCGCGGCGCCCTTCCCAGGGCCCAAGGCCACTCGTCGGAACAGACGGCCCGCCGACATTTCCTTCGCGAATGTGTTGGGGATCGCAAGGTCTGAACGCATAGAGTTTTGCGCGGATCTCTGAGCTGCTCAGTTCTGCCCTCTTTGCTGGGGGGCGCCTGTCGCTCGGCCGCCCCGGTCATCGCTCGGAGCCTCTCTCTCTTCTCCAACTCCTGATCCTGATCCTCCTCCTCCTCCCTCCCCCTCCTCCCCCTCCTCCTCTCCCCCCCCCTCCGCCTCCTCGAGGCGCGGCGCGACGTGGGGGGTCGGCGAGCGCAGCGCGCGTTGCAAGCAACAAATGAGGACAGCTCAAACCCACCTTAAAGAGGAGGGAGAGAAGAGAACGAGAGGAAGAGAGAAGGAGAGAGAGAGAGAGAGAGAGAGAGAGAGAAAAAAGAGAAACAGAGAGAGAGAGAGAGAGAGAGGAGAGAGAGAGAGAGAGAGAGAGAGAGAGAGAGAGAGAGAGAGAGAGAGAGAGAGAGAGAGAGAGAGAGAGAGAGAGAGAGAGAGAGAGAACAAAAAAAATAAACAAAAAACGCAAGAGAGAGGGGGGGCAGGCATGCCACTTGCTCGCCTGACCGATCAGCGCGGTCGGCGGCCCTTCGTCCCCTTCCCGCCCCCTTGCCCCCCCCCCCCCCCCTCCGCAACCTCTGCCGTCGCATGCTTGTTGATCCAGCGGCGGTTGAGGCCTGAGGGGCGGAGCGGATGGGGGAAAGGACATGATGTGGGACGGGGTGACGGAGATAGCTGGGGGCACCTTCTGGGCAAGGGGCCCAATTGTTTGCAGCGGGTCTGCCGAAGGTGCCCCCCCCCCTCTGCTTGCGAGTGAGCTGCAGCTGGGGAGGGCGCGGAGGGGGGGGGGGGGGGCGGCCCCTCCCGCGGTAGACCACGCGACGCACCGCAACAACAACACCGACACCAACAACAACAAAGACAACCGCACCAACGACGCACGCAAGCGCGCACGCGCGCGCCCACGCGCGCACGCGCCGCACTGACACTCGAAACCCTCCGCCCCCCCTCCTCCGCGGAAGCGCGGCCCGAGGCGGCGGCGAGCTGAGCGGAAGAGACGAGGGGGAGGCAATGACTAAGCATGAAGTAGAAGGGGGTAAATAAGGAGGAAGATGTTGCAACAGCTCCAGAAGAGGCATCCGCTGAGCAAGGGCCCAGCTCCATCAGCTCCCCCACCTCCAGCTGGCTAAAACCCAGCTCTGGCTCCCTGTAGCGGGGGGGGGGGGGGGGGGGGGGGCGAGGTGTAGTGTGTGTGGTGTGTGTGTGTGTGTGTGTGTGTGTGTGTGTGTGTGTGTGTGTGTGTGTGTGTGTGTGTGTGTGTGTGTGCGTGTGTGTGTGTGTGTGTGTGTGGTGTGTGTGTGTGTGTGTGTGTGTGTGTGGTGTGTGTGTGTGTGTGTGTGTGTGTGTGTGTGTGTGTGTGTGTGTGTGTGTGTGTGTGTGTGTGTGTGTGTGTGTGTGTGTGGGGGGGTCATACTTTGAAGGGGGGCATATAAGGAGGAAGATGTTGCAACAGCCCCAGAGGAGGCATCCGCTGAGCAGGAGACCAGCGCCGCTGCGACAGAATACCGTTCTTGCCATGCTTCGCCGCCGCGCTCCAAGATGACGGAATGAGAGTGCCTGCGACGGATTGCAAGATGCAGCAAAAGGGCCTGCGCGGCTCACCGAACCTTATAGCCAGGGATGTGCGGCTCCGCGAGATTGGCCATGTCCTCAATCGTCTCCTCATCGCACTCTCCCCTTGCCCTTAGCCCGGCAAGATAGTTGTCGAGGAAGCTCTGGAATGAGCTGCTGGAGGGCTTGCAAGGTCCCGAGAAGAGCACCGTGCCGTTCTCATCGATGTCGAAGGCCAGCTCAGCGTTTGCTCCTTCCAAGCCTTCCGTCAAGGGCCTCGCGCCCAAGAGCAGCAAATCCTTAGTGGTCGCTCTTTGGCTCGTTTGGCCCTCCAGCTTCTCCGTAGTGGTGGAGCCACGTCTCAGAAGCAGTGCCTTGTGGATCGCCGGCGAGACCGAAAGACTGCGAAGCTAAAACCGAAGATATTTTTCCGGCGTGCAGGGACATCATTTTAACGGAAATGGCCTCGATATTCTCCTCTATGGTGTCCTGGAGGTCGCTTAGCAGACGCTTGTGCTTGTAAACCTCACCGTTGAAGAAACTGTCCAAACACGGGGGCTCCACAGGCTGATCCATGTACTTTATCTCTGTCTGCTGCGCAAGCTGAATGCTGAAGTGGTTTTCGAGTTCGTTGACAGCCTCGCGTAAATTAGCCACTTCCAAACGCAAAGCCTGAAACTCGAAACCGTTGGAGTACTGTCGTCGCCGCTGGAACTTGCCATAGTACTGTCCTGTCTAGGTTATTGTCCAAACTCGGGCGACGCGTCAGAACCAATGTCGTAGTACTCAGGACTCTGCTTCAGGTCAGCTCACTCCAACCTCTCTCCTGACTCAGCCCCGTCCTCCGCGAGGGCGCTTAGGTTCTCCGCGAAGATGGACGGGTCAAGGTGGGCTGCCGCTCGGCGCCCAGCGCGGGCAGCACTCCACCTCTTAGCGAGATCAAGGTAGGGCCCTCCTTGCTTCACGAGGCTCTTGCGCACGTCCTCGGACGTTGGTTTCCTCTCGAGCCCCAAGAGCCTGCCCGCCGAAACCATCGTGGATTCGACAAGCTCCAGAATCTCGCCATTAAAACAACCGTAGCCACTGCCGCACAACCCTGACATGAGTTGGGCAGCCTCTGAAGCATCCCTGACATGCGCAAGGCAAGGGCCATGATGCACTGTGATGTTTCGCATCTCGCGCTGGCGAAGCATTGCTAACTACGCCCGCTCCTGCAATTCACAACGTGGAGGCAAGGTGCAGACATGTACAATATCGGGATATCGAAAACCGTAGGAGTGTCCAGAAAACACTCGAGCCCAAATGGCTACGGAGTCCTCCGCCTCCTCCTCCTCCTCCTCCTCCTCCTCTCTCCTCTCTCCCTCCTCCTGAGTGTGCTGCTCCCCTCTCCCACCCCTTCCTCGTTTCCCGGCCACGTTTTTCCCGACGCCCGCGGGGACGCCCAGGGAAGGTGCCCTCGAGCCGCCCCAACACGTGCGGAGTGCGCCGACGTCAGGGCGCACGCTTGGGAACTCCTTCCGCGCGCGCGCCGCGGGTAGAGAAACAAAGCACGGCATACACGTCGGTCGGAAGAAGTCGGTAAACACATGAAGTAGGGTTCAGGCCCTCCCGGAGAATCGCAAACCACAGCAGAAGCAGATCGTTTCTTGAAGTAGGAAGGCGCTTGAAATAGACTGGGATCTGGGAATCGCAGAAATACCTACTTTCAACGACTGGCGTGTAAACATACACTCTGGGAGCTCCGCGAAGATTTCTGGATATGCGCTGGGCCCACCTATCTGGCGCGCTCCGCGCGCCAGAGGCCGCGCCTCTGGCAACGCCAGGGGGGCCCAGCGCTGATCCAATAAATCCGCGCGGAGCTCCGAAAGTCGATGCTTAGTTTTCTCTTCCTCGAGTGGGGCTACTGGCCCATGCCGAGCCAGGAGGTGACGAAGCCCAGGCGTGATCTGCTCTCCTCCTTCTTCGCCTCCTCGCGTCGCTTGGCCTTGGCGAGCCTCGCGGCGAGGGCGGGGTCGTCGTCGAACTCCTGGACCTTCCTCCCCGTCATCCAATTCGACTGCGAGAAGAAGGACCACTGCTGGCCGACGGCGAGCGGGCCGGGCCCGGCGGGAGCGCCGAAGGGCACGCCGATGGCGCCCGAACCACTCATGACCACCTCGTCTTCCTCGTCGTCGTCGAGGTACCCTGGCTCGCCCTCGTCCGGGTCCTCCTCCGACTCCTCCAAGCTCCCAGGGCCTCCTGCTCCAGCCGGGGCCGCCGCGGGGGGCTCAGGTGCGTCCCGGCCCCGGCCGCCAGAAGGCCCGGCGGGCGCGGCAGTGCCGGCGCCAGCGCCGGGGCCCCCGGCGCTCACGAGGGAGACCCCCTCGATGCCCTGCGCCCTAATCGCGACCAACACGTCGGCCAGGAAGCCCGCGTCGGCCGCTACGGCGGCGGAGCGGGTGCTGGCGATGACGAGGTCGCCCTCGAAGGTGACGCTGACGACGCCGGGGATGGCCACGACGCGCTCCAGGATCGCGGCCTTCACCTTCCCGTCGGCATGCTCCCCAAGCTTCAAGATCACCTCGCCCCTGCCCTCGGCGCCGCGAGGGGCGGCTGGTGCCGCGCTCGGGCCACAAGAGGACGCCGCCGCCGCCGCCGCCGCTGGGTCCGCCGCCGCGGGCGGCGCGGGGCACGCCTCTTGGGCGATGGCGCCAGAAGGCGGCGTGGAGGCTGCCGTCGATGCTGCGCTCGCCCCAGGTGTCGCGATGGCTTCCAGCACATCCATCAAGATGGCCTCCAGTTCCTGGGCGTCGGCATCTGCAGTCCCGGCAGCTCGAGACGCCCTGGTTCGTTTGAGTGCGCCCCTTGCCCTGCTGAGGTCCATGGCGGCCATGTCCTCGGGATAGCCCGCCGACAGCTTCAACAGCGCCCTGGCGGAGTTGAGCCTGACACGGGCGTCGGGGTGGTCCAGGAAGGCGAGCACAGGGGTCACGATCTGACTCAGGTGAGCGTGCATCTCCGGCGTCTGCGGCCCATCGGCGAGGGCCTGGATCTGCCTGACCGCGCCGAGCGCCTGATCTGCTGCCATACGCCGCAGCTCAGCCAGCGCGCGACCCCTGAAGGCCGACGGATGGCTGCGCACGGGTCGGGGGCGGCCGGCCCGCCCCCGCGGGACCCGTCCCGCATGAGCCGACCTGGCCACAAGGGAGCAAAGCAGAGCAGCACCAGCAATCCGGTGAAATGCAGCTGGACGATAGCGATGGCCCCGGGCAGCCACGGGCGGAGAAAAGAACAGACCTGGTGTCTACGGGCCATTTGGGGCCCTGCAAGGGGATGTCCCTGCCCGGAAAAGAGCAGGAAGAGCACATTCTTAGAGTCTCAGGCCGCCTCCGCCCATCCTCTGTCTCTTGCGATATGCGCGTCTGCTTCCCAAAACGTGCGTTTCGCCTGGGAGGCCCCCCGCAATCTGGGCGCGCACGGGCCTGTGTCATGCCCCCTGGCGGCTCCATCGTCGCGGCGAGTCTGAGTATGAGTGAGGCTGAGTGCGAGTGGATTTGAATAGAAGAGGGTCTGAATGATAATGAAGTTGAGTGTGACTGAATCTGTATGTAAGTGAGCCTGAATACGAGGACATGCGTCTGAGTGGTTGGGTTGGTCTGCGTGTGAGTGAACCAAAGTATGAGGAGCTGATAACGAAAAGTTCTGAAAGCGAGTGAGCAGCGAATAGTGATTCTGAGTACGAGTGAGTGTGATCATGAACAAGATTGATTGTGATGTGATTGGCTCTAGGGGTGAGTGAGTCTGAGTGTGAGTGATTATGACTGAATATGAATAGCACCGAGTGTGGGTGAGAGTGTGCCAGAGTATGAGTGATTGGAGTGTGAGGGAGTCTACGCGATCCTCAAATATGTAGTATGAACAACGCTATAAATATGCAAGAATCTGACAGAGCACGGGGGTGATAAGGCGGGAGTGAGGGTGGGGCGCAGGCACCCTACTGATAACAAGAAAACCCATGCCCAAGATGTGGCGAATAAGAAGGCCATCAACAATTATTATGTGGTTCTTGCATGCTCGCCTTTTCACTTCTGATGGGCCTTCGACGCCTCAAGATTGACCAACTGTGGCCAAGGAGAGCCCCAAGATGGGGCTCGAGGGGGCCCAAGAGGGCCCCGAATGCTCCCAAAAACACCCCTAAGACTCTTACTAGGGGTGTTCTTGGGAAGCTCTCAATGAGAATTTCCCACAATGGCTTCAAGAACTAAGAGGATCCTTTCCGGCCCCCTCAAATGCAGCACTAATTCGGACCACCATACTTCTTGGCCGGTGATGTCCAGAATCGCCCTTGAGGCCCCGAAACCAAAATCCAGCTGCCTGCGGCAAGTTCCGCCAACGTGCCAGCGCAACCCTCTGTGTGGCGATGATGCGAGCACCGCCCAGAAGGCCGTAACATGTGACACCTCGCGATTCTACTCTTTGGAGGGCCATCGTAGGGCCTACCTGGGCCGTCTTGGGGCTGCCTTTGGCTTCTGTGAAGCTGTCTTGGGACCCTCTTGGGACCATCTTGACCCGTCTTGGGGCCCTCTTGTTGCCGTCTTAGGCCGTCGTGCTGGCCGTGTGAGGAGTCTCTTGGCGTTGTCTTGGAGGCCTCTTGGGGCTCCCTCGGGCCCTCCTTGGGGCTTCTCCTAAGCTCTCTTGGAACCATTTTCGGCCGAGACGTGCATGGTCAATGGAAGACTATCTAACTTGCGCTCTGTCGGTCGGGACTTTTGCAATGTCGGGCTCTGCGCGGCAAGTCTGACAGTGAACCCTGTTTCGAACCCTGCTGGGGTCCAACCCAAGTAGCTTTTGACCCATATTTGAAGATCCCCGGGCCCGAAGCGAGCCCCCAGAGGCATCAAATGCCCCCTAAACCATGTAGGGACCATGAACCTCGATCGAACACCTTGGATGGAGGAGGCAGCCTGATCAAAACATTCTGGAAACTCCGTTTGTGTAATGTATCCGCGTTCAGACGATGAAAACTACTTGTTTCCGAACTGGTGCGCAGGGGGTTCCACGATGCCACTATTGGCTGTGGAGCAAGAGGGGGAGGGATGGAGGCACCCATGCCAGCGCAACACTGACACGGGTGAGCTGGCCCGAAGGCGCTTCGGCGAAGCGCCTTCGCAGCGCACCCGCAGCTGAAGCCGAAGCCACAGCTGACGTATACAGAAACATGGACAGGACTCACCCTGTAGGTTTGGTTGACAGCATACCGGTGAGCGGTGCTGTAGCCTCAAAGCATCAGCCAGACAAGTCGAGCTTTCTAGGGGGGCAACAACAATGCACAAACTTGTGATTTCGGAGGTCCGCGCGCCTTCCTTTGATCGGCGCTGGAACCCCCTCCCTGGCGCGCGGAGCGCGTCATGGGCGGCGCCAGATGCGCCGCCAGAGGGGCCCAGCGCCGACCCGAGAAATCCGCGCGGAGCTCCGGCAGTTTATGCTTATGATTCGTTTCCCAGTTAGGCTCTGCCCAAAGGGTTCTTACTTGTTTGTGATGAGCACGTGCCTGTCTATGCCGTCTTTTCAGAATCGAGGTTTACAGCCCTCGTGCCTTGGACTCTGGGCGCGTCTCGGCACTGCCACTGCCGCCGCAACCCCCTCGGAAGGAGAAGGCGGAGACCATGACCACGACCACGACCACGACCACGACGTCGACGACCACGCCGACGAAGACGACTACGAAGCGGCAATCCGAGTCCCGCGCGCAGACCGCTCCTCGCAGACCCGTTGCTCCTGCCGCCGGCGCTCCTCCAACTGACTAGCCAGCTTCCCGCGCTCCTCCTGCAGGCTCGGACGGGAGGTGCTTACGGGCCGCGTTAAGGAGTGAACGAAAAGCACAATCAAAATCCGTCGGCCCCCTTGTGGGGCCACCAGGCTGTAGGCCGAAACTTTGGAGTTTCCTGTGCCAGTTGCAGCTTCCAGGTTCCACTGTTACAGTTCTGCTTCTTGCTGCTTACTGTTACACTTATGCTTCTTGCTGCTTGCTGTTCCTTGTTGATGGACCGCGCGAGGGGGGGGAGGCCCAAAACGGGCATTTTTACCACGCCCTGAGCGTATTGTCTGAATTGCTGGGGTGGGTAAAAATTTGCACCCCTCACGCAGATCGGCGGGGTCAGGGTCCAAAAACACATGAGATTTGCCACATTTCTGAAATGCGGCGGCACCCCTCACAGAGACCGGCAGGGTCAGGGTCCAAAAACACATGACATTTGCCACATTTCTGAAATTCGGCGGCACCCCTCACGCAGATCCGTAGGGTCAGGGTCCAAAAACACAAGGGATTTGCCACATTTTTGAAATTCGGTGGCACTCGTGACGCAGATCTGTAGGGTTAGGGTAAAAAAACAAGCAGGTCCCGACACTGCTTCACGGCGGCGCCCAGACCGCATGATTTAGCTTTTGCATCTCCCATTATCCGAGACAGGGGGCCAACAGCATGGGGCGAAACCCTTACGGGTAAACTTTCGGAGTCCAACGCGGACTTCTTGGATCGGCGCTGGTCCCCCCCTGGCGGCGCCTCCGGTGCCGCCCTCCAACAGTTTATTTCATGTCGTTTCTCATTCTTCGTCTTCGAGTTCGGTGGAGCTTGCTTGGGGAAACCTCGAGTGTGAATCGCCGATATACCGCCGATGCAACAGCGATAGCCACTCGATAGCTAATCCAAGCGGTCCCGAGAGGGGTGGGCTATCGGGCCCCAATCGGCGATAAATTGGCGATTGGGGGTCGATGCATCCACTCCTAACGCAACCCCCCCCCGCTCCTCTTGCCGGCTCGGACGGGAGGGGGAGGGCATCAGTAGAAAGGAGCACTGACGGCATTCGCAAGTTTTCTTGGCCATCGGAGACAGCTTCTTGCCTTCAGCCGAAGGGATTTATTTGTTGCCTTCGGTCGCCTTCGAAGGCGCACATTCTTGCCCTCGGTGGCAAACGTTTGTGTCAATGTTTGTGCTGCCTTCAGTGATGATTATTTTGCATTCAGAAGTGTGTGTGTGTGTCTTCTTTCAGCACTAACACACGCACGGGGCGACGTTTGGGGACCCACACCGACAAAACGAAGGGCACTGACAAGGTGGAACAAACTCGTCAGATGGGCCAACAGCAACCCGGCACCACCCGCCCGGCCCAGAAGAGGGGCCAAGGCCCTCACTCTACCCAAGGCCGCCAGCATCATCATGGCACACACAGCCCAACCTGACTTGCCAAGGGGGCGACTCCTCGGCCGCGCCCTCTACGCGGTCGCATGGGCCCAACACCACGGGACCACGGCCAACGACTGGTATGCAAGGGTCAGCCAACGACGGAGGTGGGCCCCAGGACGAGCGAGGGAATGGGACATCCTCGCTCAGGCCGCCGACTTCACCGCTTCTTACCACATTCTCAAAGTTCTTTCCAACGGCCTTCCGGGACATGCGAGATGGCGTAGCGCTCAGGATCGTTTCCCCCACCAGTGTAATGAGTGCCAATGCGAGGCCGATCACGTATGGCATACCGCCTCGGCCCAGTGTCGAGGCGTCGCCTGTTGCAACCGATGCCTGGGACACTGGGCAGGTCCTCAAGCGAAGTGGCCGCTGCTGCCACAGCACGCCCTCCCTGAACGACTCCATACCCTCGCCGCCAACACCCGCAGCGCGTGCGGCCCAACCTGTGCTACGCCCAGCCCGGCGCCTAGCCCGTTCGGCGCTTGCCCGTTGTGTGGCAAGGAATGCATGCCGCACGGCGCCCCTCCCTGCGCCATACATGGGTCCACCGCCCTGCACGGCGCACGGCTGGCCAACAGGGCCGGCGGCGATTGCAGGAGGTTGGCCGCCGCCACGGGCGCTAGCCTGCCCGGCCAGCACCTCCTGCATCTCCGGTCCACCCACGCAGTCGCCGGTTGGCTACTGGCGGGGCCAGGGTGGCTACCCCGCCCCCGCGTCACGAGGACAGCCGTACCGCATACTGGTCAGGCACCTTCTGCAAGACATGCGCCAGGCACTGCCTGAAACTCATCGCCTCCCAATCCATGGAACACGGGCGAGAGGTGACTGTCAGCGACTCCCCCATCCCTGATCAGGACCGGGCTCAATGGCCGCGCGAGATCACCGTCGACGGCGGGTCCCGCCCCATTGCCGGAAGGGCGAAAGTGGGTGGGGCCGGCGCCGCGCTATGGCACCGCCCCACCACCGGTGGACCACCCAACAGGATCGCCTCGCGCGTGATCGCCCTACCTGGCTCCGACAGCGCCCAGGTGGGCGAGACCACCGGATGAAGGGCAGGGCTAGGCCTGCTGGACGCCATAGACGCGGCCACCGGCGGTGCGATGGCCGCTAGAATCGTCGGCGACAACCTCGCCGCCGTCCGCTGCGGCGCAGGCGCTGGAATGCACAGAAGACTGCACCTGCGTGCGCAAATGGACCAAGGCCTCCGCCCCTTGGCGGCCAAGGGGTGGCGGCTCACGTGGCAGGCCGTGCGGAGACGGCTCAACAAGGCTGCTGACACCCTGGCAACACTCGGGGTGCTTTGGGCCGACAATTCGAGGCAGGAAGGGCGCGCCGCCGTCTCAACATGGATCGTGTGGCACGCCAACCCCCCTCAAGACGTACCATGCGCCTTTCCCGACCCCAACCTCGCGGGGCTTCCCGTCTCCGACCTCCCCGCTGCCGTCGAGATGCTCGAGGCCCGGGCCAGCAAGAATAACAATGGCAGGAAATGCGCCTGACCCCCCCTCTCTGCGCGCGTTCTGGGGGCGTTGTGCCTGGGGTTGCGCCTTGTCCCACCCCGTCTCTCCTCTCGCCCTCTCGCCGCCGCAGCTGCTAAGGCTCAGGGCTCCGCCCGCCGGATCGACAACTACCTGAAGCAGGGCTTCTCTTGCCCCCCTGCACCCCATGGTGAACGAAGCCAAGATCTTGGCCAGGTGGCCGCGCGCTGCCCCCTGCCGCCCGTGCCCGCCCACGGACAAAAATGGAACGACCATCTTCAGGTGTCGCGAGGCCCCGGGCGTCTTGTGGGCATACATCGACGACAACAACGGCGGAGGGCAGTGGTGCTGGCTCTGCGACGAGTGCGGCAAAACGGTCAACGAACCTGGGCACTTCACGTCAACCGAGCACATGAGACAGCGAAAGCAGACGCATATCGACAAGCACATGGACGGCTACAAACCCCACGGACTACCGGATCCCCAAAGCTTCATAATGGGAGGCGACCTGTGAAACATGACGAGGGGCATGGACACACCGTAGATCAAGAGGACACAATACCCAGGCTGGTGCTGGGACTGGGAGTGCGACGCAAAGAATTCCCCCATCGACCCATGCGTCTACGAGGACGACTGGGACGCGAGATCGATCGGATTTCCTATGCAGTCCGACGGGCCAGAGTACTCACCCCCGCTCGGGATGGTGATCAGCAATGACAATGTACAGCAGCCCTGGGCCAAGAATAACCGCCCCCAGCAAACACAGGAGCAACTACTCCACAGCGCCGGACAGGCACTGGCCGGCTCCTTGGCCATGAGGGGTACGTCCAGCCCGACCTCAGGACAACTCGGCAACGCACCGCCCACCCCGTTTAGGCACCCACCGCTGGCCCAGCCTGTCTCCCCTGGACCCCCAGCGTGGACGCCCACCCCTGGCCACCCTGACCAACACGGGGGACGCACCAGCAACGCCGTAGCACCCTAATTACGCGACCGGACTACCGGCCCCTGCGTCCCCTGGGGCACCCGCCATCGAAGGACGTCACGTACAGCTCGCCAGGAACGCCGAGGAGCTCTACAGCACTCCCTGGTGCATGGTCCCATACGGATCGGCAGCGCGGCCCTGCCTTGGACCGGTCCCTGGGGCTGTCTCGCTACCCCACGACTGGACTCGGCGTATGCAGCTACACGGAAAAGAGCTAAGGAGAGTCTTCTTCACCGAATTCTACACGGACGTGGAGCCACCTGACGACGGCACCACCCTGGCTCGGCAGGCTATCGCTAGTAAGACTACCTGCGCCCTGGACGCGCGGATCCTCACCTGTTCCCAGCCCGACGAGCACTGCCGGGATATCTTAGATAGGTACCACCTACAAGACAGGCTCAAAGGGCAGCAGCAGGGATTCAGCGAGTACTACCTAATGGTTTGGGACACCAGGTGGGCCATGGAATGGACGGAGCGCGACATGGCAGCAGGCACCCCGCACACTTTCCTCATCTCCAAATCCTCGCAAACAGTGGATTTCTTTGCGGAAATGACGCATGTCTGGCCCCCAGCCCCCGGCGCCAGGGTCTCAGGCACTGACCGGAACTGCCCTGCTGGAATCGCGCTGGTCCACTACGGCGCCAAGAGAAACGGCCCCTTCCACGACGCCGACGACACAGTCACAAGGCCCTACCCAGGTCAGGCATACTACAGGGTCGATCGCACCACGAGGAAGACCCAGTTTAAGAAGGTCAACGCGGCGATACGGGAGTTCTTTGCAATCGGATGCGAAAAGGCAGTTCTCTGGGGCACCGCCCTCCCGCCCATCGTATGGACACTTGTCTTCCGACACGAGGATTGCGACAACAAGGCCAGAGCCCTGGCCGTGCTAGCCCAGGGAGAAGCGGCAGATCTCCTGCTGGCGCAGGCCTCGGTGACCCTGGATCGCATTATCGGCGACCCCGACCAACCCCGTGCCAACCCACGTACCGGCACACCTGCGCTGACGCCGCAACTGGCGGAGGAGTCCCCAGGCAGCGTTTTCCAGCGACTATTGCCAGCCCCTAAGGAGGAACAACTTACGCGCATCTGTGACCTGCGCCGCGCCAGCGACGCGCAG